TTGAGTTTCTTGTGATGCCCTTTGGGTTGACCAACGTACCAGCAGCATTTATGGATATGATGAATAGAGTGTTCAGCCCATATTCGGATAGATTTGTGATTGTATTCATCGATGATATTTTAGTATACTCTCATAATCACGATGAACACACAGAGCATCTCAGAATCATCTTGCAAACTCTACATGATGAGCAGTTGTATGCTAAATTCAGTTAATGTTAATTCTGCTTTTATAAAGCTCTATTTTTGGGACATGTCATATCTGCAGAAGGAATTCATGTTGACCCGCAGAAAATAGAGGCAATGGTAAAATGGGAAAGACCTACTGATGTGACAGAAATACGAAGTTTTCTTGGCTTAACAGGTTATTATCTTCGTTTTATAGAGGGATTTTCTGAAATTGCTCTGCCTTTGACCAGTTTGACTAGAAAGAATGCTAAATTTGTCTGGAATGAAGATTGAGAAATTTCCTTGAATTAAAGAATCGATTAGTGTCAGCCCTAGTTCTTACCCTTCCATCTCCCGGTGAAGAGTTTGTGATATATAGTGATGCTTCACGTCAGGGTCTTGGTTGTGTTTTTATGCAAAATGGGAAAGCTATAGCGTATGCTTCCAGGTAGTCAAAGAAACATGAACTGAGTTATCCTACACATGACTTAGAGCTAGCTGATGTTGTCCTAGCCTTGAAAATTTGGAGACATTACTTGTATGGCGAGAGATGCTAGATATATACAAATCATAAAAGCTTAAAGTATATTTTCGATCAAAAAGAGTTAAACTTGAGGTAAAGAAGATGGTTAAAGCTGATAAAAGAATATGCTTGCAAGATTGATTATCATCCAGAGAAGGCTAATGTAGTTGCTGATACTCTCAGTCGAAAAATATTGAGTCCTATGACCCAGACTAATGCAGTATGCTCATCTTTGTTTGGTGAGTTCAAAGCTTCTCATGCCCAATTATCAGTTACCAATGTAGGAGCATTGTTTGCCAACTTCCAAGTGAGACCTACTTTGATTGACATAGTTAGAAAAACTCAAACTCAAGATCCAATGTTGAGCAAATTGAAAGAAGAAGTTAGTAAAGGTACGCATACAGATTATGCCATTCGAGATGAAGGAGCTTTAATTATGGGAAACAGATTATGTGTTCCAGATGATTCGAAATTGAAGAGAGAAATTCTAGAAGAAGCACATAGTTCAGCTTATGCGATGCATCCAAGTAGTACAAAAATGTATCGTGTACTCAAAGAACACTATTGGTGGCATGGAATGAAGAGAGAAATAGCGGAGTTTGTATCCAGATGCCTCATTTGCCAACAAGTGAAACCAGATCATCAGAAAACAGCAGGATTGTTACAAACGTTGCCTATTCATAAGTGGAAATGGAAACACATTATTGTGGATTTTCTATTCGGACTTCCACGGACTTAGAGTGGACATGATAACATATAGATCATTGTAGACAGGTTAACAGCGACTGCTAGATTTTTGCCTATTAAAGTCACTTACTCATTAGATAAATTGACAAAAATATATGATGATGAGATAATCAGTTTTTATGGGACACCAGTATCTATTGTTTCAGACAGAGACTCTCGTTTCACTTCTAAATTTTGGCTCAGTTTGCAGAAAACTATGGGTACTAAACCTCATTTTAGTACAGCTTTTCATTCACAAACAGATGGTTAGTCAGAAAGAATCATTCAGACTTTGGAAGACATGTTACGAGCTTGTGTACTACAGTTTAAAGGGAATGGGGATACTCATCTTTCTTTGATGGAGTTTGCTTATAATAACAGTTATCATTCGAGTATAGAAATGGCTACTTTTGAAACACTGTATGGTAGGAAATGCAGAACTCTAGTATGTTGGGATGATGTTGGTGAAAGAAAGTTATTGGGTCCTGAATATATAGATTACCGCTAAAAAAGTAAAGATAATTAAAGAAAACTTAAAGACAACCCAAGATAAATAGAAGAACTATACAGATAGACGCAGAAGAAACTTTGAATTTGATGTTGGGGATAGAGTTTTCCTGCAATTGTCGCCATGGAAAGGTGTTATAAGATTTGGTAAACGAGGTAAATTGAATCGGAGGTATATTGGCCCATATGAGATTGTTGAACGCATCGGTCCAGTTGTGTATCGATTAGCGTTGCCAACAGAATTGTCCAGAATTCATGATGTATTCCATGTTTCCATGCTTCATAAGTATATTCCAGATCCATCTCATGTTTTGGAATCACAACCAGTAGAATTGAAGGAAAATCTTACCGATAAAGAAGAACCAGTTCAAATATTGGACAGGAAGGAACATGTCTTGCGTAGTAAGACTATTCCTTTGGTTAAAGTTTTGTGGAGAAATCATGCTGTAGAAGAAGCGACATTGGAAAGTGAAGAGCAGATGCGTTCTCAGTATTCACGACATGATCAATTGAATTTCGAGGATGAAATTCTTTTAGGGGGGTGAGTTTTGTAATACATTAAGTTTAAAAAAAATAAAGGTCAAACAAAAAAATATATATAAATAAAATAATGAGGCGATGGAATTGGATTGATATCAATCAAATTCTACCCAAAACCAAATTAATAATACACAACACACACAAACACTAGAAAATGGTGTAGAGAAGAAGAAGAGAGAAAAAGAGAAAGGAAAAAGAGGGGGAAAAAAAGATAAAAGAGGAAGAAAAAGAAGAAAAAAGGGAAAACTCGCCAACATGTTAGGAATTAAATGGGTTATACTATTAGGCTTGAATTTCTCAATTTTGAAAGGTAAGTAAAAGTTACTTATTGAAATGTTATGTTTGATTTTATAGTTGTTAGATTATCAGATTAAATTTAATTTTATTGAAGGGATTGAGTATAATAAACTACGAAGTTGAGTAAAATGAAAGAAAAATTAGTTTTAGTAATTAAAGAGACTTTAGAAATCGCCTAAACGTGAAATAATTAAGTTTGGGTATCGCCTATTGAATTATTGAAATTAGTTAATTATTGATTTAAAAATTATATTATATTTCAGACGGCGATACGGATATCGAGATAGCATACCAATCAAGTTGATTTTGGCATATATAGTTCTATGAGTGGAAAAATATAAATATTTTTAAAGTATTTATAAATTGAGTATATTATCAAAGTATGTACAATTATGTGTTCGAATTACATAGTTATTATGGAAATATCTTTTATTATGATACATGTGAATCTCAAAAATTATTTATGGTATGTTTGTGACTTGGTATGTGAGATATGTGATATTGAGATTTGTTTAGTATGTGAGACATGCAATATTGAGATCAGCCAGAAAAGTACTCATGATTATATACTTCTTCTAAATTATAGAGGGGCATTGGCCGTGTTCTATCCTACACGAATGGTCTTGACCTGACATTGCTATTGATCGTATACATATAGTTTACAGAGGGGTCTTGGCCGTATTCTAGAATTGATTATGAGAAGTCCTTGAGACCGGCTTTCGTTCACGGAGGGAGCCAAAGGCCTGTGGCGAAAGTTTTTAGCTCGAGTGGTAGATTAAATATTTCAGTCAGAAGGTACATTTTTTGTGGATTTTTCAGCATGTTTCATGTGATGAGATTATAGCATGGTTATCAGCTGATATTGTTATATCATAATTTTAAGATGATATTTTATGACCTTATGTGAATATTTCATTTTTTGGCTATAATTACATGATTGTAGCTTGTGAATTATCAAATGATATGAATTTGATTTTCAATAAAAATGTATAAATGAAAAAATATATTTATTTTGAACTTCTCCACTCACTGATCTATCAACTCATATATTTTTCCAATTTTTTCCTTATCAGTCAGCAGTTGAGAATTTGGGCATCTTTTTGAGTTGAGCCTTGATTTTAGAGTCAGAACCACACGACAAAATTTGTTAGTATGATTCACTTCATAAAACATGTAGTCAGTATTTTGGAGCGCGTGTTCATGTCTAGATATGATTTTGCATCACTTGTAAATAGTTATGGGGTTCACTATTTATTTTGTATCCATATGTATATTTCATTTTATTTCTTAGTAAATGTTGAGATTTCGGCTTATCTTTATTGTGTTGTGCTATAGTTTGGGATTTGTGTGAAATTGATCATAGGTTGGTTAGTCCAGTTTACAAGGGAGACAATGCCGAAATTCTATTAGAAAAATGATGTATAAAAAGTGATATATTGTATTTGTAGTAGCCTTGATGGTGGGTCCGACTTTTAATTGGTATCTATTATCGGCACATGCCACGTCTGGATCTAGTGGTGTTACAAGGGATGGGGTGTGTCAGGGATGCAGATTGACAAGCTATATCTCCTCTCGTTATATTGAAGAAAGTTAGTACTGTATTGTCTTTTGAGATCAAATCCAACCCTTCTATCCTCCAATGAGTCCCTACTGCTTCTGTGATTTCTTCTATTTTATGGCTCGATGTTATTGAAGTTTAAAAATCAAATTGTAAAAAAAGTACCAAATTAATTCGGGACGAGTTTTATAGGGTTAGTTATACATGCCACAATCCAACTCAAACTTAATTAGCTCAATATAGAAAAATTCATAACTAAAATGTTAAGTGTCACCCTTTCAAAACTAAGAACAAATGTTTCAAATTTCAAAAATTATATATTTATTAAAATTTATTTATGATTTAATTAATTAATTATATATTTTATTAATTAAATATTACAATCACAAATCTATAGAATTTGGTCACTAATTAATAATTTAATTAATCACATATTATTTTTCGGTCAAAAATCAAAATAGTTATATGTACCAAATTATTTTGCGGTCACAATGCAAATATTTTATAGGTCACAATTTGTTCATTCGTCACAAATCGAAAACTTATAAACAAATCAACAATTTATTCAACAAAAACCCATCCCAATCAGAACCTGACCCGGTTGGCCCAAAAAGCTAAATAAACAAATTCATTGACATATCTCGTGATAATAATCCTATCCTAATCCTAAATATATAAAAGAGGCTAAAGACGCTTGGACACGTGTCAAACGATGCTATCATCAACCTTAAGATTTTTTTAACACTATTTTGAAAATGGTTGAAGGTGAGGCCATCCCTAGTGAACGAGTGAGCCAAACCCTCGCGCCTAGCGTCGTAGAAGGGTGCCAATGCTGGTGGGATTTTCCTAAATATTTTTAATTTATTTTTGATAGGCGATGATGGATTAGATCCTAAGAACTATTTCGGGATTTTTTAACGTCTTGTTTGTATGTATTAATGTGTGTGTGTGTGTGTGTGTGTGTTTATATACAGAGGAATGATGCATGTGTTTGATGAAATTTCTCTGAAATAATTTACTTAACCTTGTTTTTTTGAGAACTCGTGCACGCACATATATTTCTTTTCAACTGAGTTATTGATATACAATATACACTTCATGACTTCTCTTAGATTCTCAGAGTTTGGGAACCCCCATTTCTGATAAGTCAGTTATTGGACATCCAAAACACGACACTACTTGGATGGCTCTATTAATTAGTTAAACATTATGACATCCAAGGGATATCCCTAAAATCATTTGCTTCAGGAAAAGGCATTGCAGATATTTATCTTTAGTGGCTTTAGTTGTTATTTGACCGGATCAATCTTATGTTTCTCTATCCCTTGCTCAGTTGGTTTATTCCCCTGCCTTCCTTTTTATATTACTTTATGTTGTGATTTGTTGTTCTGTAAGGGAGAATGTAGGTGGGATCATTTTACTGTATTTCAAGATAATTATGGCTATCAGTTTCTGGTTAATCCCTCATTGTTCTCTGTTCTCACATGCTTGCAGAGTCAACCCCTTGGTGGTGGCTTTATATGTAGCTCTACATGCGGCTGTTCCATTTTTAATGTTTGTGTTATTGCCCATTTCCGCTTTTTGTCAGTTATTACTTTGACATGTGTCATTCCCGATTCGTGTTTAATGTGTGTGCACATTATATTGTATTTTCACATGCATGCTCTGATCATAATAATTTTCAGGATCTGGACACAATTTCAGAATTGAAGGTTTAGGATAAAAAGCCATTGCTTGAGTGATTTGCTTCAATAAATAGTACGCCTAATATTTTTCTATTTCATTTAATGATCCTTTCATTACACACCCATTCAACATGTTTAAGTCAAGCTCCTTTGAGTGCTCCTAGATTTCTTGTAATTTCTTTTCCTTCTTTTTTTTGTTTTTAATTTTCGGGATTGATTGGTTGGAGGCATCAACAAAATGAGAAATTGAATCAAAAGGCAACAACATTTAGTCTACCCTTAAAAGATCCTTTGCAGTGTTTTTAACATTCAGCTATTGGTATGGTCTTTCTTTACCTTTTTAATTATTTTAATTTTTTTTTTTCCTTTTGGCTTTGTGAAATACTTTTGTGTTTGCTTGTTAAATTGTGTGAAGCTTAACATGCTCTATATTGGGGTAGTGCTTACATATATGGGGGTAGGATTAAATCATAAATCCACGAGAAGCATGTCTATTGTTTCTAAATTAGCAACTAAAAATCGTTCAGTAGTGAATTAAGTTAGAGAACTTTTGTTGTCTATAAATTATTCTGCTCTATAGGCTGAAGAAGACATTGATGAAGTCTGTACACAAATTAATTTGATGTCCGAAGCAGATGTAATTATTTTAGGGAATTTGGAAAACGAAACAAATAAAGCTACATGGGTTCATTTTATTCTGTGTTGAAGCTCAGAAAGCAGTTTTGGTCGTCGTTCTTTTGATATTTAACCTGATCTCTTAATGATAAAATACGAAAATTAGGTTGTAATCCGAAACTTTAAGCTTTATTATAAGTCGCTTTCATATTATCTTCATCCAAGTTCTCTCTAAAAATTGGTAATTTGGATCATGTTCATTGTTCCAGGTGACCAATGGCTCCTAATCGTAGTATTGTGATCATATTGTTGACGTTATAAGGAAAATATGATAAGTTCACAAATTTGGTCTCTGGTGGTTTGACATCTTCATAGGTATTCTTTTACAAATGCACCTCCTTATATGTCAATATTTCTGTTATCTAGGATTAGTACTCGTTTCTGGTTGCTTAAGTTGGTTTGTCATGCTAAGCTATGTCATAGAAATGGACATTAATATTTGGATGATGATCACTTGATGAATATTGAGCTACCAACCTGGTTATATGATAATATATATGTTTTGCACATGTAACTTTATTTCATGGAGTATTATTTTGGAGGAAGTACATTATTTCAGGTGACTTCCCTTTTTCTTTTTGACTGGAAGGTGCTGAGCTATTTCTGGAAAGATGGCCATATAATTAGAGAAAGAAGAAAGATGGAAAAGTAGTGAAGGAAGCTCATGAAAGGCTCAACGTATGTTTTGGATGATATTTCTCTGCTTCATGGACTTCAATTTTACTGGTTGAAATCTAAAAAATTGCTCTAGCAGCTTGTTATGATCTCTTGAATGGTACTCTTGTTTATTAGGATTTTAATTTTTTAACACAATGAAGTTATATGGTTGGTTAAAATTGAATAATTGGAGTGAATGGCAGCATAATCACGGCAGTGACAAATCAAAGTTCTGGTTTGAGTAATTATTATTTAATCTATGTTATGTCTTAAGGTTGTGATTTGAAATGAAAGAATGTTAATGGAATTCATTTGTGTACTTTGCTTTCTCATTGTACTCATTCTTTTATTTGATTTCCTGCACAACACTTTGATGAAAATCGGCTTAAAATATTTGCAATTCAAAGTAAATTGAAAACGACACTTCTAACATCATCCAGTCCTACTTGTTTAATTATCTCTCGGTCATTAGTTTTATTTCCTTTTTTTAGTGATATCATCACTTGTACACTTTTTGGTGGAGATGGAGTGCATCTAAATCTTTGGGAAAATTTTCAAAGTCAAAGCCTAAAGATGAAGATAAGGCCTTGGACGAGGAAGAAGACGAGGAACATGGTGAGACTCTTTGTGGTGCTTGTGGAGAAGTGGTTCCATGGTATGTGATTGAAGATTGCACCAGCTAGAGCCAAGCATATCAAGCAGTACAAGTGTCCGTCGTGCAGTAACAAGAGGGCTCGTGCTTGATGTGGAATATGAATCATACTATCTGTACTCTTGATAAAGTTCTCATGTCTTGGTTGCTGAAGTCATTTTTTGTTTGGTGCTACAAGTAAAATTAACCTCGTAAATGGTACTCTTGTTTATATACCGACTACTAATACTCGAAATATGTGCAATATAGTTTTACTTCTGAAGCAATATGTTTCTTTTTAATTTTTTTCCAATTATCGAAATTGTTATCTTCAACTATCTTTGTGGTTTTTGATAATTGAGATATTGGATAAAATATTAGTAGGAGTAAAAGTTATCGGCTATTAAAAGATTGACATCAACATTTATTAACCAAACATTGGTTGCAAAAGCGTGCAAAATCTACCAGTGACCACAACATTGGTCGTTATTCACCTTAGCTTTCATCGACCAGAATTTGGTCACTAGATGTCAACTACTAGTGACCACATAATTGGTCGCTCGAGGCATTAACTTTCACCGACCACAGTTGGTCGCTGGATGTTAACTACTAGTGATCACACGTCTTTGGTCGCTGGAAACCTTCACCAACGATGTCTTACCGACTAGCCAACGACCACGCGTATTTGGTCACTAAAGGCATTACCAACCACTCATTCGGTTGCAAAAGGACATTAATAAACCAATTCCCACTTTTACTAGCGACCAGAAGTGAACCCCTTTGGCCGCTGTTAGTTTTATGTTTAGCCACCACACATATTTGGTTGCCGGAACCCTTCATCGACGGTCTATTAGCGACTAGCCAGCGACCACAATTCTATGGTCGTGAAAGGATTTTACCTACCAAAAACCATTCTTTAGCTACCAATTTATTTGGTCCCTGGAACCAAATTTTTTTTTTTTTTTTTAGTGACATAGGATTTCACGTATATTTTTTTTCTCATCTGATAAAATGAAATAAGTATCTTCACAAGTATATCCCAATATATCTACTCCTAATCACTTACGACATTTGTATAGTATATGGAAACCGAAGATCATATAATTATAATCCAGCATATATATTTTGAGGTTATAAAAATATCTACAAGCAATTTCAAAAGGTATACATATACAATACAGAATCTCCAAAATATAGCAAAACGGAAGTCCAACATAACCCTACAGGTCGTCGTCCATTTTCATCAAACTCTGGAATCCCGTAAGAGTGTCACGGCCAGCCATGACCTTTATGAAGTTCCATGTTCACGTACAATGCAAAAACTATATAAGCTAATTCCTAGTAAGCAAAATCATGCATGTCATGAGTATGAATAATAATTGTATATGCCATAACGTCATGCTAAAGATGCATCATATTCAAATATTTGTCGAAATTATCACAAAATAATTTCTTTCGAAATATTTCTTTTCGTTGGGCCCTTGATCCACCTATTATACACCGGATAGAGCTCTTCATAATATTAATATCAATAATCAGTAATCAAATGGCCGATATGACATCGACACTAGCGAGTGGTGACATGCCCGTCCCGTGTAATGCTATTGGACCTGGAATGTGACATGAGCCAATGATAGATACCAACTAAAAGTCGGACCCACCATCAAGACTACTACAAGTACAATATGCCCCTTTTTATAAATCATTCTTTTAACAGAATTTCGCCATTATCTTTCTTGTAAACAGAACTAATTCAACATAATAGAGACAATCCTAAATATCAACTTTTACCAAGAAAATAACATGAAATGTACATATAGATACAAGATACATAGTGAGCCCCCTAACTATGTACAAGTAATGCAAAATCACATCTAGACATGAACATGTGTCCCAAAACACTGACTACATGCTCTATGAAGTGAATCATACTAAGAAACTCTGTCATGTGGCTCTGACTCCAAAATCAAAGGTCCAACTCCAAATGATGCCTAGATACTCAACTGCTGCCTGATAAGAAAAATGGTAACAAAATATATGAGTTAATAGAGTGGAGAAGTTCGAAAATAAATATACTTTTTCATTTATGCATTTTTATCGAAATCAAGTTTACATCAATTAACAGATCACAGCTTGCATATGATAATGATAATCAAGATGGGAGACATCCTCATAACGCTCAAATATATAATCCTATAGTCATGATCTAACCCTCAACTTAAACTTATAATATCGTCTCATCGCACCACATGTAATCCACAAAAAAATGTACATTTTGACTGAAATATGAAATTCATCCCTTGGGCTAAGAACTTTCACCACGGGCCTTTGGCTTCCTCCGTGAACGAAAGCTGGTCTCAAGTCCTCTAGTAATCAATTCTAGAACACGGCCAAGACCCTTCTATGAACTATATGTACATGGTCAAGACCAATGTTCGATCAAGACCCCTCTATAAACTAGAAGAAGTATATAATCATGGATACATTTTTGGTCGATTACTTAATCACATGTCACATTCCAGTTCATAAGTAATTCACGTATAATCTTAATGATTGCACATAAATCATAATGAAAGAACATTTCATAATAATCATGTAATTGTACAAGAAATTCACATAATTGCACATCATGTAATGGTATAAAGACAACTCAATTGGTAAGCTGTCCCGATATCCGTATTACTATCTGAAATATGATATAATTTTTAAATCAACAATTCACTATTTTGATACGAGCTGTCTCAAATCACCCTAGTGGACTCGAAACGTGATGTGCGCCAATGATAGATGCTGGCTAGATGTCAAAACACCAAAACTGATTATGAGTTACTTCAAAAAATTCATCAAAATCAAATGATTATGTAAAAACTAATGCGGTGGGCCAAATTATTTACTTCGTGCTTTATCAATATGACTTATAATACTCAACATGTCATGTGGCTCTTATTCGAAATCATCAGGCTCTTACAGTTAAAAAGAATCAATTGCTACCTGTAGAAAAAATTACGGAAAAATATGAGTTGATAGCTTAGTGAGTGGAGAAGTTCGAAAATAATTACACTTTTTCAATTTTACATTTTTATCGAAAATCGAGTTCATATCCTTGAATAATTCACACAATAACATCATATAATTGTAGCCAAAATGTGAGACATTCACATAATGTCACAATATATCATAGTTTTTCATATATGAACAGAAGTTGATAATCATACTATAATCTCATCACATCAAATGTACTGAAAAATTCACAAAAATGTACTTTCTGGTCGATCTTAATATCACTTATATCTCACATACCAAGTCATAAATATACACAAATAATCTTTGAAATTTCACATGTATCATAATAAAAGAGATTTCTATAATAATCATAAAATCAAACACATAATTCTACAAAATTGCACATACTTGACTAATATACTTAATTTATAAACACTTTAAAAATATTTATGTTTTTCCACTCACAGTATTATGTATGCAAAATCAACTCGGTTGGTAAGTTGTTCTGATATCTGTATCGTCGCTTGAAATATGATATAATTTTTAAATTAACAATTAACTATTTTGAGAAATTTAATACTTAAATAGGCGATACCAAAACTTAATGTTTTCATGTTTAAGTGATTTCTAAAATTCCTCTAATCATTTAAGCCAATTTTTCTTTCATTTGACTTAATTATATAGCTCATTCTACTTAGTTCAATAGTTCATTTTCAATAAAATTGAATTTAAACTAACAATTTGACAATCCTAAAATTTAACATTACTTCAATAAATAACTTTTTACTTACCTTTCGAAACTAAAGAATTCAAACCTAACGATAGAAATAACTTATTTTCTAACAACGTAGGTAAACTTTCCTAATTTTTTTAAGGTATTACAATTTTAAGTAATTTCAATAATTAAATAGGTGATACTCAAACCTAATCTTTGCACGTTTAAGCAATTTCTAAAGTTTCTTTAATCACGTAAGCCAATTTTTCTTTCATTTGACTCACTTACATATCTTATTATATTTAATTCAATAGTTTCCTTTCAATAAAATTGAATCTAACTAATAATCTAACCACTATAAAATTAAACACAACTATGTAATAAACAACTTTTTGCTTACATTTCGAAATTGAAGAATTCAAGTCTACTAGTATAAACCACTTATTTGCTAACAATTTGATGATTTTATTTTTATTTTTTTCTTCCTCTCTTTTCTTCCCCCACCCCCCTCTTTATTTTTTTCTCTTCCAGAGCTTCTCTTGATTATGGGTGCTTATATGTGTAAGGAATGGATTTTTTTTAGTTTGGTAGTGAATTTGCTTGAGTTTGGTGGATATATATATATATATATATATATATATATATATATGGGCGCGCGCGCCGTGCCTGCCCATTTATTATCGCACTTTTCTTTTCTTTTTTTTTTCTTTTTTTTTTGGTTTGGTTTGACTTTTCAATTTGATAAAGGTATTACAAGTGGACCATCCTCTAACTGCCCCTATGATCACCCAAGAAGTATCTCACCCCAGTAGTGCCAATAGTCATAATATTACAAGGACACAATCAAGTGGTCCACCCTCCCGTGATCACCAAAGACCCATCCCCTATCTACCTTTGCCATCACCCAAGAAGTATCACCCACGCTGCCAAAATATATCACATAAGCATACCTCACACGCCTCAGTGCTCCAGTAGTGGTCAATGAAACATTTATGAGGAAAAACTCAATTTTAAAATTATGTTGTGCATGCTAGATTTTTAGCTATGAACATATGTCATGCTTGCACATAAAAATGCTCATGAATGAAATACTCACTCAAAATCAATGTCAGTCTGCTCCAAGACCACACTTAAATGATCATAACCATCATATTAGGGATGTACAAACTCTTGACCCGAACTCAAATCTGAAACCAAATTGAATTGAATCGAGTGGTTCTTCTTAAGTTAAGTACCTGAATAGGTCTCTAAATTGAGAATCAACGGGTTTGGTTCGAGTCTCAGTTCTAGACCAAGAACCGAAAAAACGGATAAGAACCGAATCTCTTTAATTTTTTTATTAAACTATTTTAAATAAGCCAAATTATTTTATTTTTCTAAATAAATTTGTTAACTTGCTAATTTAGCTCAAATCAAAAAATATGATTTTCCTATTTTTAATTTTCAATTCGAAGCCAATTTAATCAAATTGACGTAAGTTTTATCCAAATCAGTTACTCTACCATAGTGTTGTTTCTACTATTACGGAGAAATCGAATTGAGACTCGATAACTCCTCTCTA